GAAGAAAGGAGCACTATCTTTTTATGACTGTATCTCCAGGGTATAGCATATATCCAACCCGAAATAAAGACTAGATTAATATGTGTAGAATAGTTAAATAAATACGAATAATTGACTACATAATATCAATGAAAGGAATAGGCTTAAGCCCAGGTTTATATATCTCTAAAGATCACCATCTTTCTGTAATACCAAGGAATTTGCTCTAAAAACCATTAATTAATTATAATAACACAATTATTATGATTTCCTATATTAGTACTGTATCATGGTTTCACTCTTTCTGTTAAAAATAATAAAAAATAATGTTAATTGCATAATTTCTATTATTTCTAGATTGGATAAACATGCAAAGGTAGTTGTTGAAAGAAAGCAATAGGATTTTAATATGTATTCCTCGTCACCATTTATTTGATACCCTCTGGCCTTGGCATTGGAATTTAAAATATTCAGAATTCCATTGGCTACTAAAGACTCCAATCTGGGCATTATTAGGTCAAAATTTCTGGACCGCCCTGTGAAAGACAGACTTTTTTCATTAAGAAGCAAACAATCAAACAGACGGCAGTGACTTTTTTTGGAACTCAGAGGATGTGTGGAGGAGGGGGACCTTCCTTCCACCAAAGAGTCAGTGCCCGCTAGAGATGCCCAGACTTTTCCCCCTTCATTCAGCTTTTCCTGCCAGTCCTACCCTTAAATGCTCCAAAGTTACAAGATGATTAAGAGCTCTCATGGACCATTTAGGGGTTGTGTTGAGCTAGGTTGTAATTTTTTATTAAAAAAAATTTTTTTAATCTTTTTAATGTATTTATTTTTATTGAAGTATAGTCAGTTACAGTGTGTCAATTTCTGGTGTACAGCATGTCTCAGTCATACATATACATACATATATTCATTTCCATATTCTTTTTCATTATAGGTTGCTACAAGATATTGAATATAGTTCCCCATGCTATATAGAAGAAATTTGTTTTTTTATCCCTTTTGTATATAGTTGTTAGTATTTGCAAATCTCAAACTCCCAATTTATCCTTTCCCACTCCCTTTCCCTCCAGAATTTTTTTAATTTTTATCAATCTGACTAACTTAATAGCACTCTAGTAACAGAAAGCCATGATTTGACCTCAGAAGACCAATGTTGAAGTCTTGTCTTTACTACTCACACAGCCTAACCTTGGAAAAATGACTTAAACCTCTGAGCTCCAGTCTCTTAACACACACACAAAAAGGAATGACAGCTGCCTCCCTAACCTCCATAGCTCATTGACTAGCTCAATACCTTTATTAATATGAAAATACCTGTGAGCAGAAGACATTACACAGCTGTCAGTCTCCCTCCCTTTCTCTCTTTCTCTCGTTCTCTTTCTCTCATTTAGTTGCCTTACACAACTTATTCCATCCTGGGGTAAAGGATTGGCACAAAACATTCTCACAAGAAATGCCCTTCAATACCAGCAATCTCATCGTCCTCTTCAGTTTTCAGCCCTTAGATATACAACTCATCTAACTGTATTTGAAGGGGAACAAGACTTCCAGTTTCTTTTCTAGCTAAATATATGTGTTTTAGCTGAAATCCCTTGTGCAGCTTTTTCTGGCTCAGTGGCCATGACTTCTCTCTTTATTATGAACTTCCTCCTCATTCCCAGCTTCCTCCATGTCCACGTAGAAGAGCCTCCTCCCCAGATTGCTTCTTAGGAGATGGAATTATATGGACTGATGGTAGCCTCTCTTGTAAACCCATCCCCAGATCACCTACTAGCTCTTTCTAGTTTCAAGACTAAGATATAAAAATTGAGTTAGTGTGAATAATATGGGAGTCCTGGAGAAATGTGGGCAAATTTCTTTATCATCCTGAGCCTCCTTCTCATCTGCCTGATAGTGATAATAATGGTATTTGATGGTTGGCTTGTTGGCAAAGTGAATGAGATAGAGCATGTGAGGGATAGCACATAGTAAGTACACCATATAGTTGTTACTATTATTAAAGGGGAAACGCTCTCTTTTGCTGGTTCATGTGAAATCAGAATTAATTTTGATATCTCATTACTGTCTATGTTTTATTTCCCATCATTTTCACCCTATGTTGCCCTTAAAGCCACATCAGTCTGTTTGCTCTTTTTTTTTCCACTTTGATTAAAAATAAGTATGATTTTTGCTTTACTTCTGGTACATAAAGTTCCAAGGCAACTTAATATAACAACACGAACATTGAACAAAAAGTTGTGAGAAGCTGCTTTTACTATTTATGTGCTCCTTTAAATCAAAAGAACAAAATGTAAACTATTTTTTTTTATGTCATGTCCTGTGCTTCAGGCTCCTTGGTGCCTCAGAAAACATGAAAGAGGCTGATTTACAATCGCTTTGGGCAAATTGCCTGTGGAATTCTGAGGACAGGAAATGAAAAAAAAAAAAGTGTAGCACACACCCCTGGACATTCCGCACAACATGTAGGATAAACAAACAGGCTCCAAAAGGAAACCCAAAGCTCTTGGTCTTCTGTTGAGGAGCACCATGAAAGGCCTTTGGGAGAGCCTATACTGAGAATGATGAAGTGCTGGAAAAATCCCTCAAGAAGGGTGAAGTAGACCCTGATTAAAAGAAATCCTTTCCCCCTTGTGTCTAAGGGATGGCGAGTCCTTTTACTTTAGGTAAATTCTGTTCCCTGCGTCGGCGTTATGAAAGAGGAGTGCCACGTTACAGACCTGTACTTCCCTGACCTCCACAGGCGTCCGGTTCTCTGCGGAGCTTGTTGGGGTGACTGATTCAGGAAATCTGGGAAGAGCCTGAGAATCTGGACCCCTCCCTCACAAGCTCCCAGGTGATGCAGCTGCTACTGATCTGCGGGCCACAGCTGGCTCTCAGCCACCTTCTGTAACAAAACCATTGGTGGTAGTTTTCTACCCCGTTGTCTATAGTACAGTGGTCTTCAGCTCACGGTGGTTTTGGACCCACGGGAAATTAGCAGTATCTGGAGACATTTTTGATCTTCCCAATTCAGGGGGGACAACTGACATCATGTGAACAAGGGCCAGGGATGCTGCCAAACACCCTACAAGGCACAGGACAGCCCCTCATAACAAAGAATTTTCTGACCCAAAATGTCAATAGTGCCAAAGTTGAGAAATCCTGCTGTAGAAGTGCAATTTGGTATATCTCTCATATTTAAAATAATCCATGAAAGTGTTTTTGCTTTAAAGGTAACTGTGGGGAAAGAGTAGGAACATGTACTATTTAATTTGGAGTAGAGAGTGAACAGTGTTTAAAACTGTCTTCAAATATATGAAAGGCAATTAAGCAGAAGATGGTAACCAGCTGTTCCCTATCATCCTTGAAGAATGAACAGGAAATGTGCATAAATGGACCTGTGCTACCCATCCGTTCTTTTTCTGCATCTTCCACGCCAGCCAGGCAAATCTCTCTATGATCTTGCAACCATATTTGTCCTGTCCTGTGTCTTATTACTTACAGAGACCCTCCCAAATCCTTGGGACATATTTCCTTCTCACTGCCAAGTCACATCTCTCCCTCTCCCTAAAAATCTAACTTGAAAATTTCCATCTCCATAAAGTAAGTCTTCCTTAACTAAGATGAAATAGTTGGCAGTTCACTTCTGTCTACAACTGGCACACTTTCTCCTTCAACGTGTAGTCTTTCATTCTGTGTTATTGCCCATCTGTGTACAAGGAACTGTGCTAGATTTTGAGAAGGGATAAGAGAGATGAGTAAAAGAGTCCCTGCCTTTAAGAATTTTCCAATCTAGGGGGAAAAAAAATCCCACACAGGTAACTACAATATAGATTGTATTTAATAATTATTTCTATTAAAGATTTTTTTAAAAAGAGTGCTTAGTAGTTAAAAGATTATCAAAATATAGGTATTTATGCATATTTTATGAAGAATAATTTTCTCTAAGTTACATACAATTTTGTGCATCATAGAAGTATTTAATATTGTTACCAAAATTTAAAGGTTAAGAATTAGAGCCTGAATTTAGACTATACTTACTGTGAATAAGGAAGGAGAATTTTTCTGTTTACATGTAGCTATATATCTTGATTTTAACAAAGGAGAGTGAATTTAATCACCTCTGAATGTGCCATGTGATGTTCTGTGATTTTATAAGGGTATACTCTTTGGGAAGAATCCTTAATTACATCTAGGAGGGGAGTACCTTGGAACATCACAAGTATGCTTTAAAAACCAGTACCAAAGATGGAATTTGGCACCAATCATTTGAGAGAATTTGTCACCATCCAGAACCTTTGCAGGAGAGAGTCTCACCTATAAAGGGTTTCCATTACCTGAGCTACAAAGAAATTAAAGAGATTTAACCGTCTTTAGAGATATCATCTGATTTAATCTCAACAGCAGCCCTTGAGGTTGTCAGCACCAACACATGAGGAGAATTCAGTGTATGAGTACAAGCTTCCCCCCACTGTTTGATTCAGAGAGACACAGAGCATATCTCAAGCCTGCATAGGAAGCCGCCTCTGGGTGGAGAGCATCACCTTGCCTTCCCTTTCGAAACAGAGAGGAGAAAGCTTTCTCTCCCGAGGCTTTAAATGGTGATGCTTGTATCCCCTGTAGTCAGAATGGGAAAATGAAGCTGTTTACATTTCATGAGTGGCAATGGTTTAGTGTTGGGCTCACTACTGGAAAACTGTCTGCAGCTGCATTAGTCATATGTGAGCATGAGTTTCTGCCAGGCCCTTCCCACACACTCTGAAATCTTTAGTTCTGGGAACGGTACAGATACTAAATTACTACAGGATCTTATTTGAATGTTAATACTTGTATTTTTTAAAGTCATTATGTTGATTTCTAGTCAGTAACACAGTTAATATTGTGCACCCTCCTTGTAGTTCTCGTTTTTTGAGCATCATTGCTCTAACAATCAGCACACAGCTATGAGTGGTAACCTCAAAAATGCCTTCATAATTCAAAACATAATAGAATCTTTGTTAACTCCATGTAACTGGACTTTGTTTTCCCTCTTAAAGTTGTTCTAGGCTTCTGCGTATCATTCAATGTTGATGTGAAAAACTCAATGACTTTCAGCGGCCCAGTGGAGGACATGTTTGGATATACTGTTCAACAATATGAAAACGAAGAAGGAAAATGGTATGTCCGTGGGTTTTGTTGTTGCTGTTGTTTAGTTTTTTTTTTAACAAGATAATGGAAAATACTATTTAGCTGCAGTTCGTTTTATGAATGAGACTTAGAATGAATCATGTATGGTAGGAAATGCAGACTGATCATTTGGTAATGGAAATTGACAAAGCAAAGAAAGGAAAAATTCCTTGGCAGTATTAAAGGAAGTGGCTGGTGATTTTTGTTGAAGCCTGGGTTGACCTCAGGGAAGGTCCTTATCCAAAATAGCCATTGTTCTGTAAATTGCGTTATTCTGGCAAGAGTTCTTTAATTGTTCTCATTTTAGAGTAGCTGGACTTCAGCAGGAGGGGTTGGGAGGCAGATGATCACTGTCTTTATATCACTTCCATAGCATAATATTGGGCCTATATTTTTGGTGTTTTACTGATCTGAGCTTGGTCTGTTATTTATAATGAGTCTTACTGAATTTCTTTTACACACTTTGAAATGATTTAATATTGGTTAAGTTCATGTCAGGTGTGATTTTTAAAGCATGTTTAACTTTTGAAAATGACACAAAATTAGTATTAGAGCTCTTTTGCTTTATATTTAGCAAATGTTAATGAGGTTTTTTTAATTGAACCTTGTAGAAAAAGAGAACAGGAGTTAGTTAAGCTTTCTTTCAGTTTAGTAACACGCTAAGCAAGCCCATTTTTCTACTAACTATAATAACGCAAGCAAAGGGATGTTCCTCTCCTTGGAAAACATCACTCTACTATAGCTCACAGATGAAAAGATGTGGCTTTTCGTTATTTCATTTTGTCTTCTAGACTTGCTTAATTTGACAATAATTCCCTACATACTATCACAGTAAGCATTTGAGTTCTAACATTTTCTAAGTACAGATATTACATCCTAGGTGTAAACCAGAATCTGCGTGGGTGCTTCACTCTTCTACTCTCCTTATAAATAGCTCAGATATGAAATCTAACAACAGAGTATGGTTTTTCCCCCACATATATACATATATTTTTTTTTGAAGTATAGTCAGTTTACAATGCTGGGTCAATTTCTGGTGCACAGCACAATGCTTCAGTCATATATGAACATACATATATTTGTTTTCATATTCTTTTTCACCATATGTTACTGCAAGATACTGAATATAGTTCCCTGTGTAGAGTAGGCGTTTTAATATTCTCTGTCCTTCCATCCTATACTCTCACTTCACCCCCCCCCCCGACTTTTGTAAGGTTAGACAGATGAAGTCATCCTTCTGGATACCAACTGTATTCTCTTAGGCATTATGACTGCAGTTCGGGGAGTTCTACCCGTGTGAGAGTAATGGTGAGTGGGCCAGCTGGTCATGCTTCTTTTTGGGCACAAACTGTAGTAAATTGAAACTCAGTGTGTGTTTTTCTTAGAAAGCTTAAGTTTTACATAAAACACATATAAAAGTTAATTTTCATTAATTCCTAATCATTACATAAATTTTAAAGAGGATTATGATAAATAGCAAGCCTTAATGAGTTAATCCACCTACTTAAAATGAACTGTCTTTCTAAAAGATAGTCAAATACAGTTGACCCTCCCTGTCTGGGATTTTGGTATCCACAGATTCAACCAACTTCAGAAACTGGAGATGCGGAGGGCAGGCGGGCTGACTGTACTACACCATTTCATATAAGGGACTTGAGCATCTGCAGTTTGGCATCCAGTGGGGTCATGGAACCAATCTCCTATGGATACCAAGGGACAAATGTATTGTTAACATATGTTGTGAAAGTCTGGTTCTCATCTTCCAACATGAGGAAGACCTGTAAGCTTCCTCCCTCATCCAGTTCTGTCTCTCTGACATTAGGACAGGCTGATAGCAGAAGTCCTTAATTATCAGAATGAATCTTAGTAGAGTAAGAAGAGGTTCATATTTCCTCATAGAGCCTTAGTGCATCCACTTGATATCTTCTGTTTCTTTCCATCCTTTATTCTAAGAGTCCAGCCTATTATGAGATTTCCAACCTCTAAATTCTTAATTCCCCTCTTACACAGCACCAGTAGGCAAAGAAATGGGAAACTGAGAAATCAGACCTTAATGGGGCCTTGGTATCGTGATGAATTTCCTTCTCATAGTCACTCTGTCTTTGAAGAAGGGAACGTGTAGATGAGAGAGACAGCCAGACCAACACTTAGAAAGAAACAAAAGAATGCATAGAGTGGATAGTAAGAATATGGTTGAAAAAAAAAGGTGCTCCTAATGGACTGTCTGAATGAGTCTATACTGAATTGAACTTTAGGAAAACCATTTAGAATTCTATATACATGCATGAGATGTTAATAAGAAGATGTTAACCTTTTGAGATTAGAGACTGTGTCTCATATGTCTTGCATCACCGGTAACATCCAGCCTAGTTGTTGCTGTACAAATGTTCATTGATGGGTTAGAAGTTTTCTTCCTTCAGCCATAGCATAAATGTGGACCAATCAAGCAACAAGTAATACATCCTTTGTGTCTGGCATTATACTAAATTCTATGAGAAATTTAACTATAAGACAAATATGTAAGTTTATAATCTAGTAGAGGAAGTATATGAAATAATTAGTAATAAAGAATAGTGTTAATCAGTGTGGTATGGACTAGTCAATGGGAGTTCAAAGAAGGAGGAAGTGATGCTTGATTCTTGACCAGAGTCTTGAAAGATGACTCACTTTCGATAACAGAAGAAGAAATGTCACTCCAAGCAGGGAAGCTACGTAAACAAGGGCATACACTTGAGAAGAAGTGAGCATGTTGCTAAGCAAACAGGCCTGACATTGGGATGACAGAGGGGAAAAGATAACGGCAGACCTTAAAAGCCAGACAAAGGAGCTTGTACTTAAGTAGAGGGTGTTGAGAAGCCATTATAGGTCTTTTTATGAAATAACCTGTGTAGTTAGGGAACTACATATAGATTGGATTGGAGAAAGGAGTGCCTGAAATCTAGGAAATCTGCAAGCAAGCAAGAGCAGCACTCTGGGGCTTAAGGGATGAGGCCCTTGGCTAGATTAGGGTGAACTGCAATGAAAAAACAGTGTGTCCGAGATAAATTTAGATGAATAATTAAGTCTTTGTGGAAATTTAGGAATGGCAAATGAAGGTATTAGGATGATTCAAACATATTCCAAAGTTTCTACACTGAATTATTGGGAAGTGGGTAGTCATTTAGAGATAGATGTACAGGAAAGGAAAACCAGTTTTATCGAGAAGTTGATGAGTGTGGTTTTAAACAGCTTGAGTTCAAGATAATATCTAGGTAGCTGGAAACTCCAAAGTGGAAAACACATTAAGAGGGAGAAGTTAGTGTATTAGGGAAAATGTTTAGAAGCTAGAACTGGTTTTGGTTCCCACTTGCAGCCCTGTGCAGTGTCCAGCATCTGGCACAGGGCCTTCAACATAATGTGCTCTCATGGTTATTTGTTGGCTGAGCAACTGAATCTAGTTTAACTGCCTGTTCTCATTGATGAAAAAAACAGACACATAAAACATAAAAGTTAAAAGTGACTCCCCCATGACTATTATAAAAAAAATTTTGGTAAGGATGTGGAGAAAAGGGCACATGTGTACACTGTTACTGGTGAGGTAAATTGGTGTAGCCACTATGGAAATAGTGTAGAGGTTCCTCAAAAAATTAAAAATTGAACTACTTCCGGGTAAATATCCAAAGGAACTGAAATCAAGATCTTGAAGAGATTCTGCACTCCCACATGGCATTATTCACAATAGCAAGACTTGAAAGCAATCTAAATGCCCATTGACAGATGAATAGATTTTTTAAATGTGTCATATACATACAATAGAACATTATTCTGCCTTAAAAAAGAGAAAATCTTTCCATTTGAGACATCGTGGATGAACCTGCAGGACATTTGCTAAGTGAGATAAGCCAGATGCAAGACAAATACTACGGGATCCCACTTACATGAGGCACCTAAAATAGTCCAACTCGCAGAAGCAGAGCATACGGTGGTGGGTACCAGGGGCTCAGAGGCAGGAAAAACAAGGGGGCAATAGTCAAAAGATTCAAAGTTTTACTTAAGCAAGATGAGTAAGTCCTAGAGATTTACTGTACAGCATAGCGCCTACAGTTAACATACTATATTGCATATTTAAACATTTGCTAAGAAGGGAGATCTTGTGGTAAGTGTTCTTATCACAAAATAACAGTAATAATAACAGCAACAACCACCAAAGAGGGCAGGAGGAAACTTCTGGAGGTGATGGGTACGTTTATGGCATAAATTGTGGTGATGGTTTTACTGGTGTTATTATCTCTAAACTTATCAAGTTGTATACATTAAAGAAGCACTGCTTTGTATATGTCACTCATTTAATAAAGTGTTTTTAAAGTGACTTCCCCTAGGGAAATGCAACTATTTGGGGCCAGAGCAGAAAATAGAGCTCTAGTCTCTCCAATCCCAGTCTAGAGCTGTTATCCTTATTAGAACTATGTTGAAAAGTAAATCTTGATTACAACTATCTCTGCGGTATTAGACTTTACCTTTTAATATATGTGTGAGAGTTTGTGAGCCTTCAAATGTATACATGGATGTCAGATACTTTGATTCCCTTTTGACTTTCCATATTTATAATGATCTTATGGAAAAGGTGTGAAAAATCAGGGAAACAAAACGAATGTGGTCAATTGAATTTAAAAGTAAGCCAACTACAAAATCTCAATGTCCAAATCTTTAAGGATGGCGTGGTAGCAACATATAGTTCTAAAGGGACCCACACACTGGTAATGCCAAATAAGCTTTAGTAATATGTTTGGATATTCTATGTTTATAAAATCATATAAGATGCAGACTTACTTTAAGAAATGGACCTTGAAATAACTTACATATTTGGGAGAATATGGATTTTGATAGGTGGGCACCTGCATAAATCATATGTACTGCTCACATTTGGAAGCTCAACAAACTCAGATTTTTTAAAAAATCATCCTGACCCATCTTCCATCTTGACTGAAGTATGCCTAAAGAAGGAGTACTTG